CAATTTAATTTTAAATTAATATGTAGGTGAAGAAACATCACAGAATCAAAGTTTATAGTAATTTTATATGTTTTTTTAATAATTTTATATATATATAAATTTACAAGCAAAATAGTGTGACAAATCATGCGACTAATATATAGAATCAGAAAAATATTCCAAGGATACGTGCAAAGGACATTGGTGTTTTGGATCTTGGATTACAATTGGTTTTGCTAAAAAAAATTTTTTTTTTATATTCTGAAAATGATAATATGACCTGCAAAATCTGATTTATATATATGTATGTGTATGTGCACTATTCTTTATTGTTATTTTTATTTGGTGGTCTGATATTATGTGTGTATAAAAAAGATTTGTTAGTGGTCATCGATCATTTCTTCTTGGTTGTTCTTATTTACACTTATTTTTTTTTTATTTTTTTTTTGTTTTGTTTATTCTCCTTTTTTTTTTGTTTGGCCAGTAGTTGTTCTTTCCATTATTGTTGTATGCATTACTTTTTTTTTTGTTGATTGATCTGCTCTTGTTCTAATTGGTTTTTTGGATGGTCAATTGTTGTAGTCTTTAGTTAATATGGATACGATTGTTGCTGAGTGATTGCAATTGTATTAATAAAAAAAGTCTGATTCCTGTTAGTCAATTTTTTGAATCATAATAGGTTATATACCACATGTTACTAATTCAGTAGTTTTACCTGCTCAGGAACTATGACCAGTGATGTCTTCATTGAGGATAAAATGTTTGAGATTGGAGTATAATCTTTAAGAGAAAAGTTAAAATATTTCAAGATCTACAAGGCCAATTTTATTATTCTTACTACTATTAGAATTACAAAAATGAGCTCTACAACTTTTGTTAAAGCTTGAAAAAAGATTACTTAGTAAAAAATAACTTTTTTGTGTAGCAGTACCAGATTAAGCTTTATTATAAAATTTATATTAAATTTGCTCCAATTTTCATTATAGTACTAGACAGAGTTTAATATAATTTTGAAAGATTGCAACAAGCTCTGGTTTACTAAATAGTGCCAAAACTATTTGTAATCCAGTATGTTTTATATGAAGTTTAAGATGTGATTGTATAAGATAAACCAATATATTCTTGGCTTCAGCAATATAAATACTAAAAAGAATAAAAAGATTTTTAGAAGGTGTATTATAATTAGAATATTTACGAGTTTCATAATGGATCAATCTACTTTTTTTTTGAATGCTGTATTTGGAAAAAGCAAACATAAGAAAGATTTGTCTAAAGAGATATTTGCAGTATTCTTGCTATAATATACTCTTTGGTTGTATATTTTGAAACTATGATAACTTTTAAATTTCTTATTGTCACAGAAAGTATATAAAATACAATCAGTATTATTTTTTTGTAGATCTGTCTAATGAGATATATCACTATAAAGAATAGATAATTTAAGACAGGTTAAATAGTGAGAAAATAGGTTGAACATAAGGCTGCTGTAAATCTGGGGTGTAAAAAATTTTTTGGGGGTTTAATTTTGATTGTTTAATAACAAATTTGGTGACTATTATTTTAAATTTGGTGTCTATTATTTTAGAATTTGTAGCAATATATCTGCTTAATTTTACCAATACACCATAATGATAAGATAAGTTAATATGCACTAGAATTATTATAATTTTATTGTAAGCAAGCGTAAATATTCTAATACAGAATTACTCACTGCTACACTATTCTGGTGTATATAACATGCAATTAAAATATGAGCTATTGTATTGTAAAGTTCTGTAAATAATTTTGTTACAAAACTTACTTGCTATTCTATTAACATATTGGAATTGTTATAATTTCTATTATAAGCTACTTAAAAATTTTTATTACAGTACATACTCAGTATTCCAGTAACCACATTTCAATTGTAGTTACTATTAAAAATTTAGTATAGAACTTATTCACTGTTTGGTAATGATAATGTGTATTTATGTTTGTGTTAGTTTGTATTAGAATTGTTGTGGTTTCTATTATGAGTTACTGTGATTATTCTATTACAGAGCATGCTATTCTGGTAGTTAATAAAGTTAGTTTGCATCAGAATTAATATACTTTATATCACAAGCTATTGAAAGATTTTGTTGTAGAACTTATTTACTATTTCAATAACCCCACCCCAGTATGAGATTAAGATGAGTTAGTTTATATTGGAAGTATTATTCTGTTACAGAACTTACTAACTATTGCCAACCTATTATTCTTTTTTGACACATAGCATACAGTCTATTAATACATGTTACTAGTATTATCTATATCTAAGTTAATAATATCAAAGATATGTAGAATTAAAGATGGGCATGCACAGGTTCTACACATAATCCTGCGCATGATACACAGAATTTTTAATATAAACCCAAGTAAAATTATCTGGCTGGTATTACCATATAATCTGACTGGCTTTAATATAATATCTGGCCTGTATTAACATATTTATCATAAATACTTGAAATAGCAAGCATGGGCAGAATTTTAGTTGTAACTTATCATAGTAAGTTACTATGGTAAATTACTAATAAGTTTCTATAATAAGTTATCAAATGCTCATTTAAAGATTACTTCCACCTTGTAATATAGTAATTTATTAGTAACTTACCATAATTTTACAACCCTGGGCATAGGAGTTATTTCTAATTTTGGCCTGCATTAAGCTTAATTCAGGCTGAATTTTGAAATAACGCTCATGTGACTATTTCAAAAATTTACTGTAGAACAAAAAAATTAAATTTCTATATAGTTTTTTATTAAACACAAAAAATTATAAAATTTGCAGATTTGTGATCCTATCCTGCATGAGATTTTTAGAGAAACCATGATTTGCCCATATCTGGATTTATTTATTTCTGCAAGTGTTACAAATCATGTGACAATAATAAATATTTATTTGTTGTTATTTTTGTTAATAACATGTGAAATTAGGCTGGCATTAGGGTTAGGGTTAGAGCTAAAAGAAGGCATGCTATATAGTAAAATTTAGCAAGAAATTTTTTTAATTAGAGCATAAAAGCCAATTTCATAAGCAAAATTTTGCATTACTGGTGATTTTTCAAAAAAGCCTTCGATTTCACATTATACAAATATTACACCTGATCTTGCAATCTACATAGAAATTTTACTTTTTGGGGGGATGGCTAAAGCCTTGTACCCATGTAATTTTTTGAAGTTTTGATTAAAATTAAAAATAGAAATAGTTTAGCATTAGGGTGGGGTTAGAGGCAGAGTAGTTTATAGGTAAAATTGTCTCCCAACATTTTTGCTAATGCTTCAAGACAGGTTTAGACTGTCATTTTTGCACTTTATTTATTTTTTAACTTCTTTGGGCTGATCTGTGTAAACAAACTTTCACAATCCTGGTTGGTTGATTTACACAAAAAGTAACGTGGGTACATGGCTTTAGACAACCCTTTTTTGGGGTTTGTATCACTTGCAAAAATAAGTATACACGCCCATCTCTATGTAGAATGCATAAACACACAAGTTGGTTTTAGAAATCATAAATAGATAATTGAGTTTCAATATTATCATGTAGAAAATTGTGAATGTCATGGTTAAGACATAACCTTGGACGTTTTTGTATCCTTAATTAGTATTGCCTTGATTTTCATGATATACTGTATATTTTTACTATAAAGTTTGGTATATATATAGTAAACACGATCAAATCTTCTTACCGTTAAGAATGCATCATCTAATTACGGAATTATGGAAACATAGCTATAGTGGGAATGATCAGAGAGTATAACGATAATTTTAGTACCATATCAAACGATCGATTTTAAGAATTGACTATACATTATAATGTGTTATGTTATTGATACATGTACATAAAATTAAATCTAAATAGATCAAAAAAGTATTACTAATCTTAAATCCGTTTACTTGACTTCCATAACTCACACTCAAATCCGGACAAAATCAAAAATCAAGAGATAGCCTAATTAATTTATACTAGCTAAACCAAAAGTATGGCGAATTTTAGCTTTACATAAAAAAACAACTTACACACTTATTAAATTACGTATACCCAAGGCTTTTATTATATTGATTTTAAACCAATTTCGAGTATTTTTTTTTTTTTAGTTCTATTTTCACGTGATTTTTTACATCATGCCACAAAAAAAGGTATAAAATTTTTTGAGGGCAGGCGCAGATAGATCCGAGCTGCGCAGCGCAATATACAATAAATTAACCGAAGCTACCGCAACAATTTGGACTGGCAGATTCTCGATTTTGATTGGCTAAGAGCGCGATCAAAAAATTAGGCCGGAATTACTCGTAATTTTACTAATCAAATCATAACCGCCCTTAAGTGAAAATTGTTTCTGGGTCAATTTTACCATAATACGGGCTTGTTTTTTAAGAATTTCTATTTTTGTAATGAAAAAATTAAAAAGTTAATCCCGGCCGGAATTTAGTATAATGTGGGTCAAAATTTTGAAGATCCTCGGCCGTTAGCCAATCAATATCGAGGATCTGCCGGTCCAAATTTGTTGCGGCCGCTATCGCTATGGTTAATATCAGATATAAAAAGGAAATTTGGCGGATCATTTTGCCCAACCTTATTAATTAAAGGCAATGATCAGAGTGAAAAAGATTAATTGTGCCGATCATTTCCAAATTCGAACTTGTCCATCATGGTGCTGCCAAGGGATCGGACTTTCAATTATATTTGTCGTCTATGAAAAATCTATCATGATCACAAAATATAATTGAAAGTCCGAACGCCCTTTTTCCCTTGGCAGCACTCATATTAAAGTGCACCTACTTATACTCTGGCTCAATAAATTTCTTATGAATCCTTCAGAATTATTTCTTCATCGTTGCAAGCTATTTTTCAAGGCATCAAATGAAGGAAAATCATCCTTTTTCTTATCTGATGTACCAAAATGGTTACATTCAAATGGATATTCTTTCTTTCCAGAGTATATTAAAGCACCACCTCATAGTATACATGGCGAATATTCTTGGGACCAAAAAGACACCAATAAAATAATAAAATTCATTGTAGAGACGCTTTCCCGTGTATATCCTTCCTACTTCACTTCAGAAATGGTTTCTATTAATCGCACAAATAGGGTTAATTGGAGTTCATTTAACTCTTCTCAAAGCTATATGAATATATATGAAGCCAATTTGCAAGATAAACTTATCAAAAATTTCGAACGTCTTTTTCCAAAATATTGGCTTTTAGGTTTTAAACTTTTATATAAATATGATTGGCACCCAGTTCCAAATCGTCCGGACAAAGGGAGAAGTGACATTATTCTAACAAATGGCAAAGGAATCTTTGCAGTTGTTGAGACAAAAGTTATCAATTCAAGTAACAGATATGAAAAGCTCCATGATGTGCAAAGACAGGCCACTGAGTATAAAACTATGTTCCTCGAACACTTCGCTGATGATCCTGCAGTAATTGCAGTCATTGGCGTCTGGTTTACAAATGAAACCCATTATGGATTCTCCACAAACCACACCGACAATTACACTATCGGATTTTCTAGTGAAATAGATGAGATAATCGCTAAAGCAGTAGAACCAGGTAAATCTGAATTACAATAATTATTAATACTTCCATACCTTTACTAATTTTATATATATCTTTTCACTTAATATTCCTAAGCTGAACCTCATTTACCCAGCTATTTGAAGATTATTCGAGGGATTCTTGTATCATTTTGTTGTTTGGGCGTAATAATGCTTATTCGTGGAATCATAAACTATCATCCAAACAATGAGGTTGGATTTAAAATTTTGGGCTACCGCCCATACTATCCATATAATCAAGTTGAATTCATTTTGTTGGGTATCATAATGTTTTTTATAGCCATTTTACTGATTTTCGTAGAGGTAGTGTTATGGAGTGAAATAATGTTCAACAAATTGTATATATTTTTTTTTATTTTATCTTATATTTTATTTATATTTTTCTTTATTTTATCTTATATTTTATTTATATTTTATTTTTAGCCTACTTCATTTTTTTTTTATTATTTCGTGTTTGTATGTCGTCACGCGGCAATTCCATTTTGATAACAATGCCCAACATAGTATATTCATTATTACTTTACATAAAATAAATTAGTTATACAAATTTGGGAATTGCATGAAGCTTAAGAGGCGTAGCACATCTAAATTTCACGTTGATACTAAATTATTAGCGTAGGCGCCAAAATTTTAATGTTCATACCAAAATATTAGCGTAGATGATAAATTGTTAGCACTGACGCTAAATGCTTAGCGTCGATGATATAGAATAAAAACCGTTAAAGAATTAATAAAGAAGGACAAGTTCAACGTCCCTTGTTATTAAATAGTAAAGAAGTAAAAAAGTAAGTAAATACTTAATTATTGAAATTTCGACTTTAAATTTAATAAACCTTTTCGTAACTCAATTTGACAGACTGAATTGACTCGTAACTTTGATTCGGCTTGTTAAGACTCGAAATTTGGTGTAACGACGTCCTTTACATCTTCGGAACCTGGTAACGTGATTTCTGTCTGAAAGAACCTTCGGTCAAGAAAAAGTATTAGTTAACGCGTGAAAATTAAGAAGCCCCGCCACCATTGGCATCACCAGCATCAGCCGGTTTAATATATTGGTTTTGAATATATCAGATGATAGAAGCCATCTATCATCATTAGTCTTTAAATCCCTTGATATCATTTTAATTCATCAATCATTTTATTTTTGGATATCATTTCCGAATCATTTTAATTCATGGTTGTTCTTGAGATTGATTCATTTTAAGTCTTATACTGTCCCAAATCATTTTACCAACAACATTATCAATCGATCATTAGTTTCGTTGATACACTAATCAACATATGCATTTTTAGTTATTATCATTCTTTAAATCATTTCGTTCTAAAGATTGATTAGTTTTTAAGACAAATTTATATCCTCTTTCATTTATATAAACCCAATCCCATACACGGTTGGAGTTCAAATTGGCACTATTTGTCTATAATCGTTCCTGCTCTCCCATTACAACCATTACAGTAGCAATATATTCTTTAACAGCTTTGTAAATTAGCACTGAAATTTATCATCAATATTTGCAACGGTTATGACTATTCTCAAATGCTTTAATCAATCGTCCAGAGTAAGTCAGGATCGAATTTAATTAGTAAATATATATATATGTATATATAATGAATCAAATATATTTATTAATCAATGAATAAAATATGTGATTATGGTTTAATTTAGGTATGTTGTCCTGCTAGTTTGCACATACATTAACTGGGGTTCAACATTTTTTTTAAACTATTTATACACATTTGCTAAAGATTATGCTCACCTAAACATTTTAGCCTAAAACCTAGCAAATTAGTCGTGGCAGAAATAAAGCTAGCTTCCGAATCCCGATTTACTTATAAATCTATCACGACACCCACCTGCCCAAATTAAATAAACTTTATTTATTTTAATTTTAGATATCTATAGAATTCAAAGAAAAAAGTTCATCGAATTTTATCAGGTGGGCGTCGGGATATCTTCGATCAAAGTTTTTGTGAACTCAAATCTATTAAATTAAAGAATTTTGACAGGCATAGGATTGTTAACAACCCTAGCGTCGCCATGAAAAAATGGTAGCCGGATTTTTTTTGCCGGCCTACATATGACTTCGGATGACAAT